CCAACAGGAGGTTCCCGGGGAAGGGGCAGTGGCTGTCAGGGGAAGCAGGGAGAGTACAGGCTAAGCCAGAGCCATGAAGGGGAGAGACTGAGGAGGGGTCTGGGGTGGTAGGGGCCCAGTCACCCCCATCTCAAGGGGGGGCCTGAGGCATCCTAGCCCTAATTCTTGTAACCAGATTACATCTGTGCTGTGCTGTACCCTGAAGGGACAATAAACTCCCTTTATTCTACTGGCTGGTGGAGTCTGTTCGTGCCCTTTCGGGGGTGCAGGATCGGGGGAACCCCCAACATGCTGTCACACTCTCCCAACCCCCTTTCCTCCCCTGTCTGAAACTGACATGCTGCTTTGCTTTCCCCCATGCCGAGTTACCCCCACCCCCAAAACTTTAACATCTCTCCCTGGCATAAAACACAAAGGCTGCGTCTAGACGGACACGATTTTGCGCAAAATCTTGCCACGTGTCTACACTGGCCGGGAGTATTTGCGCAAGGACACTGACTTTGTAATGTACAAAATCAGTGGTTCTTGCGAAAATACTCCGACGCTCCCACTCAGGCATAAGCCCTCTTGCGCAAGTATTCATGCACAAGAGGCCAGTGTAGACAGCCACGTTAACTTTTGCGCAAGAAAGTCCGATGGCTAAAATAGTCATCGGAGCTTTCTTGCGCAAGAGAGCATCTACACTGGCACGGATGCTTTTGCGCAAAAGCACATCTCTTGCGCAAAAGATGCCAGCACAGACGCTCTCTGACGCAAAGACTTTTAACGGAAAAACTTTTCCGTTAAAAGTATTTGCGCAAAATCATGCCAGTCTAGATGCAGCCAAAGTGAAAGTTTTTCCAAGCAATAACCTCTTTTATTTCCCAACCAGGGTGGCAAGCCTGCTTTCTTACAGCAATTGACTAGTTCTGGGGATCTGAAAGAAAAAAATTCCACAGAATGAGACAGCATGACCGGGCTGATTTTAGGGTGGGCTTTTAATTAAACCTATGTCCCTCCCAAGACTATCACACATTTGCAATTAAAAACAGAGAGCTTTTACTGTAAGCTACATAGCTACACCAGACTAACACGGCTACATTTCTATCACTATTCTTTTCAGTTACCTTACAGCTTGCCCTCTTCTCCCTTACAGCTTTCCTGTGCCTGTAAGCAGAGATAAGGGATAAGGGGGGGGAGGGAGATAAGCTTTTATCTGGCTATCCTGAAAGTATGGGAATCTGACATTGGTTTGAAATACAACAATGCCCACCAGCTGTACATCCCGTTTTAACAAACATCCTGTATTCCATCCCTACTCCCAATTACCCAAGAGTTTCCTTATCACCCCACACCATACACCCAAACTTGTTTTAAGATTTAGCTATAAATAGAGAGAGAACTTTTGGCATGCTATCGCTGTTCAAAATTTCGCTATGGAGGATGACACGGTGGTAAGAGCATTTTAATCTGTGTGTACGGCTATATTTTTCATGCCTGGCGCTGTCATGACTTACAAGTTAATAACTGCTTTTTAACAGGATGATGCCTTTTCACCCGATCTGTCAGAGGCCGTCGGGGCAGAGTTAAATCTCTGTAAGCTGTGGGTTGTTGTACAAAATTACAATTGCATTGTTTGAAACAAAAGAACCAAAAAGGCATTTTTCTGTTTTAATCTAGGGCCAGAGGTGGGGCGAGCGGATACTTTACCAACTAGTGCTGAATTGTTACAAGGTGGGTGTGTGGGCTATTGTATTTGTCACTTAGTAATAGAGCAGTAGCCGTGTTAGTCTGATCTTGCTAAAACAAAAGGAAAAATTACATAGCACTTTAAAGACTAACAAGATAGTTTAATAGGTGATGAGCTTTCCTGGGCCAGACCCACTTCCTCAGATCATATTCTGGAAGAGAATTGGCATGATCATGTTTCACTTTTTTCAGTGTATTCCTTCGGTATATATGGTCATGCCAATTCTCTTCCAGAATATGATCTGAGGAAGTGGGTCTGGCCCACGAAAGCTCATCACCTCTTAAACCATCTCGTTAGTCTTTAAAGTGCTACATAGTTTTTCCTTTTGTATTTGTCGCTGTTACTTTTCCCCCTGCAGAGTAGGGGTCTCCACCCCCCCACCCCCCAGACTTTGACGCCTCTCCTATGCCGGGCTGATCTTTTTGTCACAGTTACTTTTCCCCCTGCAGAGTAGGGCTCTCCACCTGCTGCCCCCACCCCGACTTTAACGCCTCTCCTATGCCGGGCTGATCTTTTAATGGCTATGCCAGATTTGTGCTTGTCTGCTAGTAAAAGGTGTGTGTTGAAACGGGCTGTTTGTGTGATGTTAGCTATAGACGCCGGACTTTTGCGAGAAGAAAGGGCACAGAAGCCTGTGGAAAGGACCAAGAAAGCCGTCTCCACGGCAGAGAACACTTTCCAGAGTGACAAGAAAGACCAACGCCCCCGATCTCGATCTACCCTGCCTGTCCCCAGCCTGTCTCAGACAAAGCGAGCGGGGGTTCAAAAGGGCGAGCGACGCTGTATCCGGGGTTGGGGGTAAGCATCGCAAGGGGGGTAGCAATACCGCCAACCCTCAAAAGAAGTGCTCTGTAAAAGGGGTCAATAAGCCCCCAGCCGCCCCCTGGCATGGGGTCAGGGAGAGCCCCTGGGCCGAAGTTTGTGGTGCCAAGAAGCCTAGAGACAGGGATCTAAGTGACAGCTCGCAATGCATCATTGAATTATTCGATCTTAGTGTGAGACTAAGACACGTTTATGTGGGTGTGAGGCAGCTGCTGGAGAAAACGTTTCCCAGGCTGGTTCTGGAAGTGATGCAAAAGCAGAACTTTCCAGAAGACAGCGGGGATTTAGCCCAAAAGCTGGCAGAAACAAAAAAGATGATTGAAAACTTGGAAAACTGGTCAAACGGGGAAGGGCGTCAGTGACTAAGCACGAAAGCTAAAAAGGTACAGAGGGGGTGGGGGGGGAGTGCGGGAGATCTAACAGACTAAGAAGGCTTTGGGCGAAAAAAACGTAGAAAAGCCAGAGCGGGTTTACGAAAATGCTCCCCCAGCCCGGAAAGGGAATCGAACACCTCCCCCCTCCTGAGCCCGGAAAGGGAATCCCCCAACCCCCACTGCTGAAGCTGTGGATTCTCCCAACCCCCCTCAGATGTATTTATAAGAACATAAGAACGGCCGTACTGGGTCAGACCAAAGGTCCATCTAGCCCAGTCTCCTGTCTGCTGACAGTGGCCAGCACCAGGTGCCCCAGAGGGGGTGGACTGAAGACAATGATCAAGTGATTTGTCTCCTGCCATCCCCCTCCAGCCCCTGACAAACAAAGGCCAGGGACACCATTCCTACCTCCTGGTTAATAGCCTTTTATGGACCTAACCTCCATGAATTTATCTAGCTTCTCTTTAAACTCTGTTATAGTCCTAGCCTTCACAGCCTCCTCTGGCAAGGAGTTCCACAGGTTGACTACACGCTGTGTGAAGAAGAACTTTCTTTTATTAGTTTTAAACCTGCTACTGTGACATAGTGGGGGTACCTGGCTGGTTTCTATGCTGCTGGCTCTGGGGTAACCCCCA